ATGACGAGTTGGTTTGACCATCCTGCTACTAAAAAAATACAATGTAGTCGGGACCGCTTTCCACCGCAATGGTTTCAGATTACGAATCCCAGGTGTAGAGGCAAAACACTTTCCACTTTCAAAAATTACTGCTACCCTCCTGAGAGTTGGAAGCTTCACAACATGAGCGCTGGTTATGCAGCACTAAAATTTTTGGAAATTTCATACTTCACTATTAGTTGGCCTGATTAATATCTCTTCCTACGGCACGCGAACAGCATTGTTCGCTAGATAATGACATGTTGCATTGCACTGTTGTCTAGATTTAACACGCTACTGTTAAGGTTGATTAGGATTCTTCAGCAGTACATCGCTGGTTTCGCCATTCTAGGGGCTCATCAAGTGGGCACAGTTTCCCAGTTTCCCTCAAACTCTTGTCCAACTTGAACCCAAAATGGACGGATTTCGATAAGTACTGTCATGTGCACACTAATTTGGTTTTGACAAGAGACTCAGTTGAATCTAGCTAAATCTCTCGTATATGATGGTCCGCTTCAACTGAACGTTTTAATTGGTACCGCATTCGAGATACTGAAATACGTTGTCCTCTGGATGTAACACGCTACTCGTATGATTGCAATACAAATACAATAAAGACCAAATATAATAAAGCTAAAATGCGGAATAACTCGATAACTCAGAGCTTTTTGGCATTATAAAATTAGGTTATATGCGCGTGCTAAATTGACTCAGTCATCTCATGTATTCAAGCTGGGTTAAGCGGCACGGATATCATCCGTCCGTAATTTTCTAGGCGATGCAAACTTTGACCATTACGCAACGTTCATATGCTAACACGAGGAAAGACAGGAGTGTTTTTCATCGACCAAAGCTTATCAAAAAGTTCATTCAATCTGACGTGGATCTGACAGCTATTTAGGCATCTAAAGCTTAGCCAGAGCTTGGAGACCATGCGTCTTCTCCTTGCATATCGAAGGTGCTTTTGTCTGCTCCACATGCCATGCTACCGTCACACTGGTGCCCAGATTGCTCCCACTTTCTCGTATTTCTTCTCTTCTTCAGACATCTACAATAGACCTTCGTTTTTACAGTTGTTTTTCAATAAATATATTTTACTGCAATCTCAGCTTGTCGTGCAGGAGAGGAGCTCAAAATGATTGCGCTTTGGTGTGCGTACTCTAGGGGGGGGGTCGTATATTTGCGCGACGTATCGGTGTGATGTGCGAATCTTGCTTCAGCTCAGTAGACATTCGTCCAACGCCAAGTTAAACTATCAGTAGCTTGAATAATGCGCCATAGATGGCGATGAATCTCGGCCTAACACGGTTATGTTGCCACTTTTGTCAAACTTGGGTTACCTGCAGGCTCTACTTAGTCAGTGGATACTTATGTTTTGTCAGTCATAAAGACATGCTTCGAAGGATGAACGCATGACGCAATCTCCGACGTCATTCGACTGAGTATCGATACAGAGGAGGCGTTATACTTACTTGTGAAGCACCAACAGGTATTTAATTGGATTTATTCAAATATGAGAAAACCACAAGTGTAAAAAAATTTACTCCCCCTAGTAACAAGTGGTGTTGTTTTGGGGACTTAAACAAACAGCTCATTGAATCTAACAATAGGTGGTGATCTGCCCAGTGTGTCAGCCATAATGTGTTCGTCACTGAACTTTCCAGCTATAAACGTGGTAAGATTTTCACTGGGGGTAATGGCAGAACGTTTAAATCTCCTGCGTGACTGAATTTTATAATGTCTGGAAGAATTTATCAGAATTTCAGCGTTTGTTCCAAAAATTTACTTCAGGCCCAGTTCTTGGTCGAACGTCTACACGGTTGTATCGTCTGGTACTTAGATCTAGGGACCCATCCGGTTACGATTCACCCGGGTGAAGAAATCTTCAATGAAAATAGCGCGAATTATCTGTAGGCAGTTTCATATCGTGCACTAGCCTCCACAGTTAATTTCCCACTCACAGACGTTGTTACCGACAGGATAACACTTCTGAAGTATAGAGCGCAACTAACCTAATCCATGAAAAGTATAACCAAGAGCTTTGTTACTTCAAAAAGACTATTCAGCAATGATAGGTGGGACAAATAGGCACTCTCTCGACCCCTATACCTCGGATTTTCCCAGACGGACAACCCCTGTTGGCGTACCAACTTTTGCGGTTTGATATCACTTGTATGACGGGAGACTACTGCACAGCTGACGAGACTCGCGTTCCAGAGTGGTCGACGCTGTGGACAATGTTATAACTCGACGGTTTCCATAAATTAAGTTGTACTATACAGTTAGTGACACGAATTTTCGGTTGTTACTAGGACTAAAGCATGAATCTGACTTCATCGGCCGAAAGCGGTCACCCTAACGGGGTCTTTGGCGAAACACTGTTAATTACAACAGACTTTGGGGTAAATAGGACCTTGGAACATGTGTTCGGGTTTTACCTGTGACTGAGATCTTTAGACTAATTATCTGGTAACAGAGATATAATATAGCATAATATAATAATATGCCAATTACGATTATCATAATTATCTGGTCTGGTCGGGAGTCTTACTAAGTCCTGTCGGAAACGGCACAAGGGATATGATATTCTCCTGTCCATTCAGGTTGGGTAACTTGTTCACTACCATACATTCGGGTAGGAACTTTCAGTGTTGTTCCTATTTGCTACTATTGTAATTCATTTTATTCTGGTTGTGGCATACGTATATCACCACACATTTTTAGATTTATACAGGCTTGAATAGTGAGTGGGAGTGTTTCGTTAAAATTCTTAGCATACCCTGACAGCACCTATGAATCATCTTGAAGAAGAACTGAAAATAATGCTAGAGGGTCTGTCAGTCTTCATAATGTTTAATACCGCAGTTTTTAACAAACCTTGGGCCTCTTTAATATCGAAGCATCGTCGACTGTCTATGGAGATACCTTATCAAAAATGATCGGATTCTCTAGTTGGAAGAAACACATGGAGATCCACCTATTTTTTTCGAATAGTCACCACATCGGGTTAGGGTTAGATTGGAGTACGAGTATTGGCTGTCCGTCTTTTGCTATTTGACACCGCTCGTATTCCAAACGTTGAAGTGTTCAACTCAATTATTTACATTCAGAGGCACTTTTCTATGTGAACCAACCATGTAAGTTTCCCACATTCCATCTAGCTACTGATAATAACATCTGATTTGCGTGAGAATCTGTCGATGCATAAAAATCACTCAGCATCAGTAAACAAGTCAAATGTAATAACCCCCCCCCCCCGCCGGAATACATTCTCACGCAATCGAATTTATTTTTAGCACCAGAATCAAATGACTAGTAGTTGCAACTCACGCTGTGTGTGTTGCTCAAAAGTCCCCGCGTGTTTCATTTGGAAGGACATTTGACATATCGCAGTACATTCCCACGAGGTTGCTGAAAACTCTTCGACACCCCGTTGTCACGTCCTCCCATTTGGCGATTTAACTTATGTGCTACTTGTGTCCCATTTGGAGATGGTTCGTGTGGTAAACTCGTTTGCACACTAATTTGGTTTTGACGGAGATTCATCTGAATCGCAGCATAACCTCAGTGGGCTATCGAAGAGTCCCGGCAACCTTATGAGTGATCTGTGCAGTTGAGACCACAAATCGTTTTCATAACTACACTGAACGGTTGTAGGAAGTCTATGCAATGGGAGGATAACTGCCCTTATACACCAATGTCAATGATCTTCGTTCATCGTCATCTAGTTCGACTTAGAAAGACGCATTAGCAATTCAGATTGACAGTGTAGCTTTACGACTGTATAGGAAACAACTATTATGGGTCGGAGCATGGGAAAAAGAAATGTTGTGTAGTGGGGATACCATCAATGAAAAGTGGATGGGAACTGCTTGATAACTGTGTTGCCAATATACTGGTCCCACTGAGATTCTCTCCAAGAGAAGTTAACCCCAAAAAGTAACTATATTAAAAAAATTTCGTTAGTTTTTTGGGGGGATTTGCCGAAATCGCCATCCTGGGAAGGAATCGCATGACCACGTTTTGAAGTGTTAGATAAAATTGGCGTAACTAGTCGTACGGCTGCGTCACATTCACTAGTCGACAAGTGTTCAGTCTACTCAGACAGCGTCCTGTTAAACTTTCTTTCCCAGGGCGATAGGTGCTCACTATGCGTAGTTGTCTGTCATAGGACACTAAAAGGGTGCCTGATTTGACGGTACATACCCCTAGGGCTGAACGAGTGAGGACATTGGTAAGTAAGCTTTCTATTCGCAGTTTATTGCAGGTGCACTTACTGTGATTAGCGTCGACTTAGAATGCCGCTTCTGGAGCGGTCAGCAAAGATTGCATTGTAAAACATGCCACCGGAAAGGTCATCTTGGGGTAAGCAGAGAAAGATACACAAGTGATAAGGTTTCAGTATAGTTTTTAGGTCATTCACTTTGATTTCTGCCATCTTCTAAAGTGCCGCTGCCCATACTGAGGAATGAAGATGTGAGATGATTACGATAGGCGTGTTGCGAAAGAAAGGTTGGAACAAACAAGCTTTCAAGAGCTATGTGATTCGTTTCTACGAGTTGCTGGAAAAGATTAGCTGTAAAGCAACGACCGGAACTTCGGTTGAATTTTACGGTAATTCAGCACCTTAAGTAAGTTTTATTAGGTACCACCGACTATTGGATGTCAAAACTCGAAAATCCGTTGGCGTTGTGACAGACCACTAGATTCTATCCAAAATGCTCGATCTGACAGTCATCGGCCCTACATTACTTATATTCTAAAAAGTTATTTTGGGTCATGGGGTGGAGAATGTTGCAATGCTGGCCCTCTCACCACCTTGCGCAACTTTGCTAGGATCACTGAACCCATAGGTGTACTAAACTAGTGAATGAACCTTAGTAAACGTCTGTTACTAGCGGAAGTTTCCTCTTCTGACGGATCAGTAATATACTGTCACGTCGTTCACCAGAAAAAATGGGCTATTAACTTTTCTCACTTACCGGTATGCGTTCTTTTGTGTATTTTCAAATTTTCACTCCGAGCAAACACCTTGGCACAACCGGGAAACGGACAAGGAAACGGTTTTTCCCCTGTATGGACGCGAATGTGATTGACTAATTTGTACTTGGCTTTAAACGGCCGACCTTCCCGTGAACAATCACGCCAGTAACATGTATGGTCAAGTTGTTCTGGTCCACCAACATGTTCAAGTGTGATATGATTGACAATTTCAGTAACTGAATCGAAAACTTTGGTGCATTGTTTTCTCGGCGCTCCAGGAACCAAAGGCACTGGATCGATCCATTGGCAGTAGAACAGTTCACCATTGCCTGTTGAAGATCTTGTGTTCTCTGTGTGCGTGGGCACATTTGCAATGGTTCCCAGTCCCATTTGGTGTCCGGTTCTGGCCGCTAGTCGCGGAATAAATGCACATGGGTCTGGATACATTGTACAAGACGGATAAGTGGAATTAAAGAAGCTTCCACGATTGGATCCCATGAGTGAACTAGAATTTGCAGTGCTAGACCTTATGTTACCCAGGCCGTAGACAGCATTGGCTCGACGATCCTGCAAGTACCGGTAGAATTGCGCCGTTTGTGACTGAGAAGTTGGCTCATAATGGGACGCTGAATAACAGGAAGCGACTGCTGCTGCGGCCATCCCTGAAGTGTAGAACCCAGTAGGTGGGGAAAAGATATTTGCATTTTGTGAGGGTTGAACAGGCTGGTTCCAGTTAGCTAGATCCACCACAGCAGCTCGTCTGGGAGAATGCTGAGAGGGTTGAGTGTTATCGACCGATCCTGAGAGACGCTGGTTTTGGATGGGCTGTTGAGCTCGACCGAGGTAGTTGCTCGGACCATGAAAAGCAGACGTTAGATACTGGGCTGGGTTTGCAGACGCAGCTCGCGGTAGCGACCGGGCTGAATGGCATGCAACGGCAGCGGCGGCCATTGCTGCGGTCGGATATGGAGGTAGGGCTGATAGGGATGTATTCAAATCCGTCAAGTTGCTGCATTCTGTTGATGAGTACTGGGCTGACGTGGGTGTGTGAGAGTAGGATGTGTTCGAAGTACCACGTCGATTTGTCTCATCGATCGGTGGGTGTGGTGTGGTTGGTTCGGGAGCGTAGTACGATGAATAGTTTGGCAGAGCGGATGTGGTTAAATCCGGTTCGAGTGCGGAGTTTATCTGTCGCTGATTGTGCACAGCTGCGTCATTCAAAGCTGCCGCGGACAGCTCAGTGTGCATCGTGATTTAGTCGAACAACCTGGGGGGTGACAAATAGCTGCCAGCGCTCGACCGCTGTGCAATGTTCCGAACACTACCGAGTCAGTAGGGGCTCCAATTAAAGATTATAGCCTGTAATCTTGAGGCCAGCAGGTGGGTTGTTGTTAGGCAGCACTCAGACTGAGCCGATGCCATACGACCTACAGTATTGATTCTCAGTTGGAATGCAGGGTCAGTTCACTGCGAGGAATCGGTGCGAATTTCGTCTGGAGCTGTGAATTGTCGGTTGACGGACAGGTTCGTCTTGAGGTCACTGAGTGCACACTCCGGGTGGTTCCTCACCGCGGGAGTATGGGCAAAGAACTGGCACAGCGTAGATGTGATCTTCCGGTTGAAAACAATGCGCGTACACAGTTGTCGTCCAAGGCCTCTTCTGCTTAGTCGTGTGAACGTCACTCAACGTGGTGCTTCTACCGCTTAAACGAAATCTGTCTTCCACAGTGCAAGATAAGATGAGATGAGAGACGCAGCATGCAATACCACAATCATCAACAGCAGCTGCTGTTGACTTGTTCGGTTATTGTATTCAGACTCGGTAATATGGCACCCAATGAAGATTACACGCTGTGTTGTGACACGTTTCAGACGATTGTTACTGTTCCACCCTGCTGTGTTTTACTGGTTTGCGTGTGTGCGTGAGTATGTGTGCGCATGCCCAGAACAGCGAATGCTAGCGCAGGGCTCATAAGCTGTGCTGAGGTGCGATGTGTGCACTTACATTCACGCGTGCTGTGGTAATCGACCGCAGATACAGAACCTCACTAGATTTTGCTTCTTCTTCCACAGGGGGTTGAAAAATAGGTGTCGAAGTTACTAAATGCTACTGCTGGATATGGTGAGGAGGGGTGTATGACTAGATGCAGCTATAATCTGTATCAGATACACGCACATATTTGTTCTGTCAGGCAATCACCAGATTCGTAATGACACGCGGATTGCCTCGCTTTCTGATTGGTTCATATAGCTCATTTAGCGTGAATAAAGACAACATAGGGGTAGAAAAAATTGACAATCAAATGGAGTGTGGTTACCAGCCTTTGTCATTGGTTCAACCCTTCTCTTTTGTCATTGGTCCACTCTGGATTCACCGTGACGACCGGAACAGAGACGGCGTTGTTGTCCAGGCTTCACAAGTGGCCTAAAGGTCATATGCTTGCTTAGAAGCAAATCAAAATAAGGTTTGATTTCATGTGTACTCGTGGGTTGATTTTATACCTCATCTTTCATGATCGGTTCTGAATGATTGTTCTGAGAAATACAAATCAGGAAAGTTTTTTTAAATGTAGGCTAAGCTGAAAATCCGCATGGGAATCTGAGGCACCACCTGGGTGATTAACCCCAAACTGCGACACGGCGTACAGCGATGGAATCCATTTACAATGAAATAATTGCATTTGTGGAATATTGTTGTCCATAACGGTTCACCTGTATCCGACAGAAGCACACAATGATAGTGGATGTTGGGTGGGGGTGAAAGAGGAACTGTTGCATCATATGTCCTCATCATACGCGTAATTCTGTTGCAGCCCTGCTTGTGAGAACGGAGAGAAACCAGCGCAGTGCATAGGACTTTGATCGTCTGCACGTCCCAGCTGATCACAAGATTTAAACTGCTTGGACGATGAACCAACAACACTGAATCAAAGGCTGATCGCAACCGTTAAGAATCTGTATGATCTGTATTTTCTACAGCTAACCTAGATGAGAAGTGCCTTTTTCAACCAGTAAGTATTATATCGCCGTTTAATATGTCTAGATCAAATGAGACAGCAGTGATAACAGAAGTCCAGAGTGGTTTCATCCGTTTTAATGCAGAAATATAGGCTGACTTGTACAAACCGGGGCGCGAAACTGCATTTTATATATATTACGTTATCTATCAACGCGTTACGGTCGAGTTGAACAAAAGACCCACTCAAGTGCGCGCCTCTAGAGGGACACCACCACGTAGTATCATTCCCCTTTTTGAAGTTGGACATCAACGGCTGAACCAATTGCTGATGGCTCACACATTCCGAAGACCACTTTACGAAACTTCTCAGTAAGGAGGCAGCAAACTGAATGTAGAACCAGAAATTTGCTGACATCTTTTGCGCTTTTTCCCCTTTTGTTAAAATTCACCATGAACTCCTATTTACTTACGAGATCGACAAAGCAAACCTGCCGAATTTGAAAACAGTTTGAAAACAATGTTATTGTCCTTTGTGAAATCGTACGATCAAGAAGATTTACGTAAATGAACTGCTCCAAAAAGAATTTAGTGTAAAACGAATATATCCCGTGGAGTAATTGCGTTTCCGGGTAGCTGAAATTTTGAAATTTGATCAAAACCCCTTAGGAATTTTGAAGAATTATTAACCACGTATGTTTACATCCCCAATTTACTCAGCAGTAATTCAGTGAAATTTTGTCTGTTGAGGAATCACCATGATTTATAACAGCTAGACAAGCTTTACGCTTCCACGCACAGTTTTTTTAGTTGCTTGCTGCAGAGTTGCCGGAACATGATAATATGACCGTCCGGTCGCAGCCGACGTCTGCCACTCTATATGCTGTTCTCAATATATAAAAACCGACGTGTGACCCAACAGTCAGTGAATGGTTTGCATACTAGATAGTTCGAGTCAGCTCTGTCCAACGCACTGCCTTTGACTGTTTTATTTAAGATTTCATCATACTTTATTGCTTATGTACTGCCTCCTCTCCGAACAAGGTTGACCACTGAAGAGAACAGGTTATCGTTAGTTACTAACTCTCTAAACTAACTTTGGTGAATTGGCTTGTTTTGTCTAGTCCGGTTGGAATCGTGTAAGAACAATGAAAGACAGAATCCAACCAATACGACTGAAAACTTCCACGTGTCACTTGTTTGCCCGTTTGGTGGAAATTACCAGTCAATTAGTCTCAGGAGTTGTACATTAAGCCAATAAGCCTTTTTTCCGTCTTTTTATATTTTTTTGGTGAAGGACAGATCATAGCCAACAGAGATGTTCAGCTTAAAGAGACGCTGGGATATGGCCTTTCAGAGCGACCAGACTATTCAGCATAGAAGGGTATAAGCTTGTGCTTGACTTGCAATACTGTTTTGGAGATAGGCATGAAACCCGATGAATTTTCCTTCGAGAATGAATCCGTCAATGAATCTGCAGTCCATATATTGTTGTTGGGAGGAACTGAATATCGATGGATTAGGGTTGATTATGTGAACAACTCTTATTACGATCGCCAGTGAACAGTGCGTCATGTGCTGGTTAGTACTCAGTCTTCCGTCTTCGAACCCTGCTGTCTCATTTCCCTGGTGAAAGCAGCGATAGGAAATTTACTCACGGTCAATCATGTGTATTCTTTTCTGAAGTTAAAACACACATATGCAACAAAATAAACCTGCTCCATGATGTTTCGTGTCATCCTAACAACTAAAACTTCTACTCTCAACGTTGGCCGTTTTTCGACCTATTTCGTCATTGGCTATTTTATACGGTTTGTCTAGTGTGACAGTCTCAAAGTGGATTATAATGGGAAGCCGACTTTAAGTGCATGACCAGATATCGTTAGAAACTCTCTGAATGAACGCTCAACTATCCAGTATGCGCATACTGGCAAATTGCGACTTATGGGAGTCTTTTCTGTGTGAATAATACTGATCCCAACCCAACGAACATGGATATTGCAAAGAATATCCTTAGGATCAAACAAAAAAACTCAGTCAATAGACTGCCGACCATGTCCTTATATGACTTGCTCTATCTTTTCTGGCCTCATCAGTTCAATTTGCTTAAGGTGAAACTTCGAGTTTTTGTCATTGTATCAAATGGCAATGAATTTTGTCTATTAGTCTGTCTGGACAAATACACAAATACCGCACCACAGGGAAATAACAAATTGTATGATAGGATTTACTACAAATCCACCTGGAATAAAGCTACGTTTTCAGTCCTGAAATGTTATGTTTAAAGATGGTGTTATTGAGACTGTGTAACACAAAGTCCCTTGCAAAAGCTTGAACCTCATAAAAACAAAACAGGCGGTTAGATGGTTGTCACCGTAAACACTAAGTATGAGCATACACGAGCACCACTATAGCAGGTCTTCGTGGTTCGCACATATCGGTGTCGCCAGTAAGCTTGCTTTTAGGTCAGCTTACCGGAGTTCGATACAGTATTGATGAACCTAATCTCAAGACTAGATGATCGACCCGCATGAGTTAGTCAGGGCGTGTCGCTAGCTTGTGGTGTTCAGGAGAAATCAGGATTCTGACGTTTTCGCCAGAGCGATCTACACAAACTACCCGTCAAGCTGAATAAGCCGAAAGTGTTTATTCAGTCTGAGAATATTCCCCCTTAGTAGCTCCCAGGATCAGATAACAGAAACAGCATTGTTTACCCACCTCTTGAGGACAGGGAAGTTTAATCTGGACCTAGTTTATTGATCTGCCCATACAAATTCATGAGATAACCAAGGAACGAGTGTTTCACACAATCCTCTTCGTGGCAGCTTCCGACATCTAGCATTTTCAGCTATGCGAACATGACAAGTTTGATGACTGGAGCATCTGCGACTATAATTAGAAATTCAGTATTGATTATCCGCTTCGAAATGTTTGCCTGTCATTGTGATGTGTTCAGCAAGGAGATGACAATCTTAAAGGCTTGTCTGTTTGTTTCGATTGGGACCCACCAACTCACCCACCAGTCACCCGAGTTCAACGCTCTAAACAACCTTGCTTTCTTGCATTTAAAAGAACTGGAAAGACGACATTTAATCGGTAGCACATTCGTTTTGGCGACATAACTCGATCGGTTTTATCATAATTTTCCGCGCTTATGTGTGGTGCACATGCATATGTAAGCTAGCGTATTTCTTTTTGCTGGGTACATAGGACCAAGTAAGCAGCAGCTCTTGTTCAGTTACCTGGACGGTTAAGTAAACAGCATCTCATCGGTCCCACTAGGGTCACAAAAAAGGGCCCTGTCGTCTTATTAGTAGTGTCATAGACCAAGCACTGGGCAGATGAGTGAAACTTGATCCCTACCAAACCCCATAATCACTTGATTACTCAAAATGAAACTGATATTTTAGGTATTGACAGGTTCTGTATATCTTCCATTTCAAACGAGTTTTGGTGAATACTCATCTGGAGATCTACCAGTTCGCCTTCTATTTTTCGAACAACTTACGACAAAGCCCTTTGGGCATCTGGAATACCGAAGTCTGGTCCATGGTGAAAGCCACACATAGTGGTGCTGACAGATAACAGCCAAGTGGAAAGAAAGACAACAATTAGACTGTGGAATTAAGGTACTGATGTGTGACAGACTACAAGCATCCCCGACACGTGATAGGGTCAGTGCTCGAGTAAATGCGTCTATGCACCAGGTTCCCCCATTCCAAAATTTACACCTCCAGAAGGACTGCCAGGGGTATCATAAACGGGAGATTTAGCCTGGTTTCAGGTGAGTATCCCGTGAAACTGCAAACCAAAATGCAAATGAGTGCATTTATCGAGGCGTGTAAACCTGTTATACGGGGAGGGGGAACGCCAAAGTAGTTAAGAGAAACGGCGGAGCGACCTACGGTGACTTCGGGTAATCTCCAAAAGATTGGTAATGACACATCTGTCGTCCCTGAAAACCACATTTTAGCAAATATGCTGTCTTCACCAACATATCTGAATCCGTCCACCTCGCACGACACATTGGCCCTGGTAGCCCAAAGAGTCATCCCCTGACCCTAACCCAAGGAATAATGGACATACCCCCTTGAAATAGCATGTTCTTAAGTTAGTGTGTTCAGTCCTGGTTTTGGTTTTACATTGAATAGATTAGGGTTCGCGAAGCTCGTTGCTCCCATTGGTTTCCAGTCGACTGTTTTGGTGGGATTCGTGATCCACCAATGTTCCTGTCTCTTTCATCCACTTGACAGTTTTCAGTACAATGAACATGTAATGGGTTCCTTGATTGTTTCTGATGTTACACTTTCAGTGTTTGACTGTAGTTCGGTTCAAAGGAATCGTCCATAGCATCATGTTGCATCTGGCTTTATTGTGTTTTATAAAGTAAGGAATAATATGACCGTCAACTCTTCGTCGTTTTGCAAGCTAAACAGTCCGCGGACGGTCTTCAAAGGTACACTGATCCAATGGATAAAATTTACCTGCGCAACAACTGAGATCGTGTTATGTCGCCCCGAAATGATGTTGAGAAGGGAACACAACAGTCATAACTTGATCAGAGAACAGCCACTCATTC